TTCAGGCCTCACATGGCTGTCCCCACACATCCTGGCATACGGAAAGGGAAAGCGTGTTGTTATGACATAATAATAATGACACGGCGATGATATAAATAATTGAGGTATTGTCACTCTCAGTGAGCGAGAATTCCCTGGAGAAAACAGCACTGTTTTTTCCCATCTGAAATTTGGTCAGATAGTGGAGTAAGGCCTAGCCATCAGTCAATGGTTAGACAGCAAATGTTTTTGAAGAAATGGCTGTACCCCAGGCACTGTACTACTATATAGAGTTAAGAGTATGGAGTTGGGAGCAAGACTCCTTGGGTTAAAATTTTGTTTCTATCATCCACTGCCTGTGTGACCTGGGAAAAGTTACCAAATTTCTTTGCACTTTATTTTCACATCTGTAGAATGGGGCAGTGACAGTCCCCATGGGACTGGTGTGATGAGGAACTGAGTTAATGCATACAGAGTATTACAACAGCGCCCAGCACACAGTACTGAGTATGTGGCAACTGTGCTCCTGTTAGAACCAAAGATGTGGCAGTTCATGAGATGGGTGTGGTTCCTGTCCTCACGGAGCTAAGGTCTAGCGGGATTTTATATATATATTAGAGGCCGGGTGCACAAATTTTGCACATTGAAAGGAAATTAATTAGAAGAAATATTTTAGAGCCTGGGGAGGGACCACGGGAGGTTGGCTCCAGGGCGTGTCCAGCCCATCTCACCCAGTCCTTATTGGCCTGACCCCAGCAGCAAAGCTCACCTACCAGTCGGAGGGTCTCCCCTGGGAGAAGCGGGGTCAGTGCACATCATAGTGACTGGTCGAACGGTTGAATGAACGGTCGGATACTTAGCATATTAGGCGCGTGCACACACACACACACACACACACACATATTGTTAATCCTCACTGAGAATATTTTTCCATTGATTTTTGGACAGAATGGAAGGGAGATGGAGAGACCGAGAGAGAGAGAGACATTGATGTGAGAGAAAGACATCAATTGGTTGCCTCTGCACTCGCTTCCTGACCAGGGCCAAGGATTGAGCCTGCAACCAAAGTAGGTGCCCTTGACTGGAATTGAACCCGGGACTCTTGAGTACGTGGGCTGGTGCTCTATCCACTGAGCAAACCAGCTAGGGCTGGAATAATACTAGTATTTTTAATCTAAGACAGTGGTTCTCAACCTTCCTGATGCCGTGACCCCTTAATACAATTCCTCATGTTGTGGCGACCCTCAATTTCATTGTTACAAATTGAACATAATTAAAGTATAGTGATTAATCACAAAAACAATATGTAATTATATATGTGTTTTCTGATGGTCTTAGGCGACCCTTGTGAAAGGGTCATTCGACCCCAAAGGGGTCGCGACCCACAGGTTGAGAACCGCTGATCTAAGAGATAAGGGGGAGCTTTTTGGCCAGGGTTGGCTTGCGTAGGCCTAAGAGGGGTTATCGCTACTAACTGGGCAGCCCCCCTTCAGAAATGCCACCGAATATGGTGTGAGACACTTTACTGTAGACAGTTGTGGTCTCTGTACGAACAACAGTGGATTCTGTATTAGTGCTGTCAGTATCCTGACAACTTCAAGAGGACATTTTGTCTAGTTATAAGGGAAGACTCTTATGGCAATTCAAAGAAACACATAGATCATTACTGTTCTATTGAAGAAGCAGGGGAAGGAAATGACTGAAATTTAATAATTCAATTCAAGATACAAATGGGAATTTGTTGAGTTCAGAAATTGAATGTAATGGAAAACTGCAGGGATGGACTTCAGGCATGGTTGGATCCAGGAGCTCAAATGGTATCATCAGGAATTTTTCTCCTATCACTCAGCTCTGTGTTCTTGGGTGTGGTTTTATTATCACCACTGGTGATAGGAGTGGCCTCCAATATCCTTTTTACTACTCCAGATACCAGAAGAAAGAGAGAGAGAGCTTCTTTAGTAGTTCCATCAAAATTCCTAGGGATGGTTCTGATTGGTCAGCCTGCATCACATGCACATTGGCTTGGCCAGGGAAGTCGGCCCATGTGATTGGCCGTCTCTCCACACAGGAAGATAGTCTGTTTCTGAAAGAAAGGCTGCTGGGGACAAGGACAACAGCACGGCTTCCAATTTATTGCTGATTATCTCTTCTCAGACCCCCTCAGAACTGGACGGCCGAGACGACGAAGGACTTGGAACCCTTCCTAGTACTTTTCTCAGGAGATGAATTAAGCTCTGTTGCCGCAAAGGTACCTCTGTGTTCGCTTGTTCGGAGGCTGGAGGGGTCTGAAGGGGAGAGACAGTGTGGCCCGTCACACTCCCCTGGGTTTGCTGCCAGTTTGTTTTCTGGAACTTCCTCCCTGCCCCAAGGGCTCAGATGTTTGCAGCTCCACCCCAGGACGCGGAGGTGCAGGACGAGGGAGTGCGGCCATCGCTGCCTGAGCTCCGACCCCTCCACGTGCCCTCTCGCGGGCGCGCAGCCTGCCGGCTGTGATTAGCTATCGCTCTGCTCTTTCTACACGCATGCTTGTTCCAGGTCTGCAGGCACCGGTGCCATGTGCACACACATGCCAGCCTGTGTGAATGACGTACACTTACATTATTGAACATTTGTTGAATTATTACGGAGGTTGAGTATTGTTTTATATGATCCTTTGTAGAAACCAGGTTAGTTGGGCTGGGGTTACATTTATGAGAGAAGCTGCTATGAGGGAAGGAAAACCTGAGCCAGTAAGTCCTGGCGTAGCTTACCCTGCGTTCAGTTTGTGTTTACTGCGCTTCAGTATTGTTCCTCCTCATTGTCTTCTCTACCTCACACAGTTTCCTGATATCCTTCAGCAAGCAGCTTCCAAGATGGTCGGGATCTTGCCCCCCAAGGAATTCCTCTGGACTGTCTTTGAATCTGTTCGGAACAGCAGTGAGAGGGGCCCTGGCGCTGCCCCCAGCCCTGGTGAGTGAACGGGGTACCCGAGCCCGTGCCATGCAGGAGAGTTTCGGCGGAGTCGCTGGCATCAAGAGGCCTCCTCTCTGGGGGACTGGACTGGTGAAATGATGGCAAAGCAACAGGGCGGCAAGAATCCACCCACCAACCGACCCCCCTTGTGTAGTGACTTGAAGGCACGGCTGCGTCCTGACCCGCCAGTAGTTTCCTGGTGGACGCGGGCAAGGGCCCCAGGGGCTGAGAGGCTGCTTGCAGAGCCGGGCCAGGCCGGCTGGGTGTGAACCCTGGGTCTGCCGCGTGCTGACTGTGTGATCTGGGTTAGCTCTTTAACTTCCTGTGCCTCAGTGTTCGTCCTCTGTAGGACGGCGCAGTACGGGCTGCGTGCCTCGTTTATTACGTGGCCTGCCAGCCATGAGTTCGACATGCTTGTGTGAGGACTAATGGGTTTAACCCTCTAACACGTTCCCACGGAGCCTGGCATATAGGACATGCTCAGGGAGTGTTAGGTGTTTTTATTTAAAAAAGGTACTTTTATTGATTTCACGTTCAAATGTTTTGGGGGCAGCCAGACAGTAAATGACGCAGTCGTATGATGAGTGGTGCTAAGTGCCACGAAGGAAAATAAACCAAGGGGAGGGGTCGGGGAGTATGGGTGGGATGTCATTTGAAAGGGACGTTTCAGTGAGACCCTGACACTCGAGTAGAGACCTGAGGGGATGTGGGAGGGGCCGTGGACATTGGGCTTTAGAGTCTTCCAGGAGGAAGGACGGGGGACAGGGTGGGGTGACACCGGCCTGCCCTTGGGGCCTTGGCGAGAGGCCTGAGCCCTGGGCCGCGCCCTGGGGAGGGGCTCCCTCCGGGCGTCCAGCAGAGAGCGATCCCACCTCTCACCCTGGGGAGGGGCCCGGGCGCCCAGCAGAGAGCAGTCCCACCTCTCACCCTGGGGAGGGGCCCGGGCGCCCAGCAGAGAGCGGTCCCACCTCTCACCCTGGGGAGGGGCTCCGGCGTCCAGCAGAGAGCATCCGACCTCTCACCCTGGGGAGGGGCTCCAGCGTCCAGCAGAGAGCGATCCCACCTCTCACCCTGGGGAGGGGCCAGGGCGCCCAGCAGAGAGCGATCCGACCTGATTTATGTTTCCCCGGGAGGCCGCCCCTCCTCGTGCTGTCTCACCCTCCCCTGCGCTGTGAGGTGGGCACAGTGATCGCTCCCATGTTCTCCCCGAGGAAATGGAGGTTTGGAGAGATGAAGAGACGTGGCCACAGTCACAGCGTCAGTAAGTGGCAGCTCTTGGGTGTGTCCCCCAATACGGGGGAGTTCACCGCTGTCCTCAGAGCCTCGTAGCCAGAGGTCAGGTTGCAACACTCCTCGTCTGCACACGGGAGGACGCGGCTCAGTGTGTGGTCCAAGCTGCCAGCAGGGCTTCTGGGTGAATTGCCGCTGTGCTTATAGCAGCTGGTGGCTTAGCAGGGTTATGACTTGGCTTCATTTCAGTTAACAAATACATGCTGCGCACCTGTCCTGTGCCCGGAACGCAGCAGCGGGACGGTTCCGGGACGGTTCTGGTTGCACTGCTGGCCGTTCTGGTCCTCTGGGTCCCCACCTTCACCCCCCCCACCTGTTTTCCCTGGGGTGGGGAGGGCAGCCAGGAGGGTGGGTCTTCTGTCCCCTCCGAGTGGGTTAGGATAACAATGTTTGAGGCTGCACACAGTGCCCCTGACCTGGTCCAGTTCCACCTCTTGGTTGGAATCCAGTGAATTTGCATTGTAGATGCCCGAGACGGGAGTGGCACAGGCGTGGGAAGCGCCGGGTGGGGCTGGTGCTGGCGTCTTGTCAGCATCGGGCGTCCAGGGTTGCTTTCAAGACAAGGAGCCGTGGGTTGTCTCCCTGGTGGGCACCTCTGGGCCACAGTCTCTCATCTCCGTGTTGAGTTTGGTAGCTGGTTTACCAGGCAGGTTTCCAGCTGTTCAGAGTGAGATGGTGGTTTCTGCTGCTGCAGCAAAGCCACAGCCCACTTCTCCTCCCTGGGACGGAAGGCCACAGCCCCGCCATGGTTTTTAGGGAGGGCGAGTCATCCTCCCGCCCCGCTCTTAGGAGTGGTCCTTTCTCATATCCTGAAACCCTTAACTCTGGGTTTCAAACTCAAATGGATGGGTGGTGGCAGGTGGCGTTAATAATAAAAGTGTTCACTGCCTCCCTGACACCACGTGCTCTGTGGGTGATAACACGGAGTCCTCACAACAGTCTGACAGGGTGACTGCCCCTCGTTGTCTGTGGAGGAAGCAGGTACGGAGGGTTAAGTAGTTTTGGGTTTGAATTTGCAGCCAGGATCTTCACCAGCAGCTCCTGCGGCCCTCAGGGCAGTTTGCAGTCTAGCTGTGATGCAGCAAAACTCCTACTGGGTGCATGTGGCTGTGCAAAACATTGGCATTTTCACGATTTTGTTACCAGGTAATTAGCGAGAAATGGCAGAAGTGGGGCTCAAACGGTCCCTGGTCCCTGCTGTCAGCTCCTCCATTGCATTGCCTCTAGGGGATGGAGCCGACAGGAGCATTACTCATGTCAGCACAGAAACACTCCATTTCCTGAGCTGCTTTCCTCCACCCCCCCCCCCTGCCCCTGCGTCTCCCGGTCTCAGGTTGCCATGGAGTTGAGGCTCCCTCTTCCGACGACATCTTCAAGTTGGCCGAAGCCAATGCCTGCTGGGCCCCCCAGGACCTGCGCTGCCTGGAGGAAGCCACGTTCCTCAGGAGCGTGGAGCTTCTGGGGGCCGTTGGGGGCTTCCTCCGGCCTCAGCTGACCGCCCTAAAGGAGAAGGCGATCCAGGTACAGTCCACCTGGGAGGGATGTTAACAAGGAAAACCCACCACCACGCTCCCAGTGGGTCTGCCACGGAGCGCCGAGCCAGCAAGGACGGACGTCACCTGTTCTCTTGTTGCAATTTCACTGCGTGAAGGATCCAGGCCTCCCCTCTGTACCTCAGTTTCCTCCCCGGGCTGTGCAAAGACTGTCCACTGGACGCTCCATGAACCCCATGTGTGGGTGGACCCCAACTGCGGGTGAACCCCATTATGGGTGAACCCATCCTGTGGGTGAACCCCATCTGTAGTGAACCCCATTCACTGGTGAGCCCCATCCTGAGGGTGAACCCCATCTGTGTAAACCCCACCTGGGGGTGAACCCATCCTGCGTGTGGTCTGGGCCTGAACAGGATGGTTTCTAGGAGGTGCTCTTTTTCTTCCTCCCCCAGAGCCCCAGCTGAAAAGAACCAGAAGTTTGCCATTTTTATTGTTTCAGCTGTTAGGAGAGCTGTAGAATATATTACTAGAGGCCCGGGGCACAGCATTCATGCACTGGGGAGGGGGTCCCTCAGCCTGCCTGTGCCCTCTCGCAGTCCAGGACCCCTCAGGGGATGTCCACCTGCTGGCTTAGGTCTGCTCGCTGCTCCTTAGCACTGCCTCAGAGGCAGGAGAGGCTCCTGCCACCACTGCTGTGCTCGACAACTGTGAGCCCGGCTTCTGGCTGAGTGGCACTCCCCCTGTGGGAGCGCACTGACCACCAGGGGGAAGCTCCTGCATTGAACATCTGCTCCCTGGTGGTCAGTGCACATCATAGCAACCAGTCCTTCCTCCGTTCGGTCGATTTGCATATTAGGGTTTTATTATATAGCAGCGGTTCTCAACCTGTGGGTCACCCCTTTGGTGGTCCAACGACCCTTTCACAGGGGTCGCCTAAGACCATCCTGCATATCAGATATTTACATTATGATTCATAACAGTAGCAACATGACAGTTATAAAGTGGCAATGAAAATAATTTTATGGTTGGGTCACAACATGAGGAACTGTATTTAAAGGGCCAGAAAGTTGAGAACCACTGTTATATAGGATTACAGAAAAGTCAGAAAATAAGAAAGGAGATTAGTCATAATCTCTCAGCTAGAGATAAGCACTGTTAATATTTTGGTATATTCACCTGGAGCGAACTAGATTTCTGTGTGTACTAGTATATGTAAAGTATATTTACTATTTCATACTAAAAAATAGTATCACACTTACCTACTATTCAATAACATCAGCCCACACCCAACACTATACAATGTATATTTGCCACATCAGAAATATAAATTTATGTCCGTATTTTAAAAAGCTATATAATATTTTATTTTACGACTGGTTCTTATTTATTTAGCTAATTAGTAGACTTTATTATTTTTTAAAATATATTTCTATTGATTTCAGAGAGGAAGGAAGAGGGAGAGAGAGATAAAAACATCAATGATGAGAAAGAATCATTGACTGGCTGCCTCCTGCACACCAAGTCATGTGCCCTGACCAGGAATCAAACAGTGACCTCCTGGTTCATAGGTTGACACTCAACACCAGCTGAGCATAATTGGTAGACTTTTAGATTGTTTATATTTTTAATGCCTCAAGGTCCATATTTGCACATATTTCTTTGGGTACTTGTCTCATTATTTACTTAGGTTAAATTTCCAGAGATAGAATTTCTGGGTAAAAGAGTATAAATATTTTTAAAACTTTTATTATATACTAGAGGCCTGGTGCACAAAATTCATGCAGTCGGTAGGGGGGGGGAGGGGTGTCCCTCAGCCTGGCCTGCGCCCCCTCCCAGTCTGGGAGACCTCGGGGGATGCCTAAGCCGTCAGTTGGACATCCTTAGCGCTGCCGCAGAGGCACGAGAGGCTCTTGCCACCGCCGCTGTGCTTGCCAGCCGTGAGCCCGGCTTGTGGCTGAGCGGTGCTCCCCCTGTGGGAGTGCACTGACCAGCACCAATAAATGCTCATTCTTTTTACTCCTTATCAGTATCATCAGCCTACATGGTGTTCTTTGATTGTTGTTAATGTACATTTTAAAAAGTTATGACTGAGAGAGAATTTCCCCTCATATGTTTATTTATTCTTTTTTAAAAATATATATACTTTATTGATTTTTTACAGAGAGGAAGGGAGAGGAATAGAGAGTTAGAAACATCGATGAGAGAGAAACATCGATCAGCTGCCTCCTGCACGCCCCCTACTGGGGATGTGCCCGCAACCAAGGTACATGCCCTTGACTGGAATCGAACCTGGGGCCCTTGCATCCGCAGGCTGACACTCTATCCACTGAGCCAAATCAGTCAGGGCTGTTTATTTATTCTTTTAGGAATTTTCTGTTCATATCTTTTGGGTATTTTTAAAACAAATATAATCATCTTTTTCTTAATGATTCACAAAAAAGTTTATATATATTAAAGAGTTTTACCCTATGTCTGTTTTAAATACTGTCAGTGAAGCTCAGTCTAAGCTGGCTTCTTTCCCTCGGAAGGTCTGGGACACGCCTTCTTACTGGAGAGAACACCACATCGTCTCGCTGGGCCGCATTGCTCTGGCTCTTAACGAGAGTGAGCTGGAGCAGCTGGACCTCAGCTCCATCGACACCGTGGCTTCCCTGAGCCAGCAGTCAGAATGGACCCCAGGACAGGTAGGTAGATGTTGCTGCACAGGACGGTGCCCAACAAACTAAGCCACCCCGTCCAGGCCTGGATCTTTCAAATACTCCATCATCACTGTCATTTTGAATCTGTTTTTATGGAGTAATTTTTCTCCTAATTAGGAGCCATGTTTTCTTATATGCAAGCATAATAATTTTGACTGGCTGGTGGGCACTGTGAGTTTTATAGTTTTGAGTGCTCGATTTAGTTATACGCCTTTGACGAGTACTGGGCTTTGTTCTGGCACACATTTAAATGACCTTCAGATCAGTTTGACTTGGGGGCCTTCCTTTTGAACTTGATTAGGGTGAGTGTAGAGGGACCTTCATTCTGCGGTTAGTTACCCCTATGACTGCGACATGGTTCTGAGAAGAGTGCCTCATACCGCTCTGTGAATTTCAAGACCTCTCTCGTCAGGCTGGTGGGAATGTGGACTCTCTCCAGCTCCATCTGAGCCCTGAGAATTGTCCAGCCCACTGCGTTCTGATGCCTCGTCCTGATACTCATGTGGAGTTTTGCTTCCTGCCTGTGTAGATCAGTACTCAGCTGACTTGAGAAGACCTCCCTGCAGATCTCTGGAGTGAGCTGTCTGTGCAGGGCTTTCCTCGCCAATTATAGGTGCCCTGACCTCTCCAAACGAGATCTCCGTATCCTCGACTAAGCTGGACCACTGGGCGTGTTTGGATTCTCTTCCCTGCTCCACGGCCTGGAAATGGCCTTTGGGCAGTGAACAAGGGCAGTTTTAGGGGTCACCTTACTTGCTTTCCTTTTCTTAGGATTATAGTCCTATGCTGCTTGTTGTCCAACATCTGAAGACAGTCCTTTTATATGATTTGTTCAGTTTTCTTGTTGCTTTTTTGTTGGAGGGCGAGTCCTGTGTCGGTTAATCCTTCATGTGCTAAAGAAGTTCTCTCCAGAATTTGTTTCAATTGGGAGGGCAGTTAATGTATTGCTAGCGAGGGGGTCTCCGCCGCTCTGTGTTACCTCATTCTCAGGGTCATCTTTAGCACTAGGCTCACACATGATCTAATTAACAACCCACAAAAACTACCCTTCCTCATCAGTCTTTGAAAAAGTCCAAGCATTGCCCTGGCCGGGTTGGCTCAGTGGATAGAGTGTCAGCCCGGGGACTGAAGGGTCCTGGGTTTGATTCCAGTCAAGGGCACATGCTTGGGCTGTGGGCTCGATCCCCAGTGGGGGGTGTGCAGGAGGCAGCCGATCCATGATTCTCTCTCATCATGACAGGTAGCTATCATGCACACTGATCGCCCCCTACCTGCCCCCTACTGGCCTGGTTGCTCCCTAACTAACCCCCTGCCAGCCTGGTTGCCTCCAACTGCCCCCCTGCCAGCTAGGGGGCAGACACTCAACACAGGAGCTGCCATGACACACACTGGCCATTTAAAAATAAACGGCACCATGGACCTGGTACCAACAAACCAACACTCGGCTTCCCCTAAGTGGGACACACCTCTCCAAATTGCAGCCAACGCTGCCAAGACCCCATGGCACAAAATGCGGCCCACAGCCCAGCCCAGCCCGAAACAGCCGCTGTGGGCACTGGGTAATGACGTCATGTAGCAATGCCCGGCTTCCTCTCCCTAGCGACTAGCTTCCTTGGAGTTTCTTCAGCCCAGGAATCTAGCTTGCTTTATAGCCAGGTACAAACATTTTACAATTTAACCAAATGTATATGAAGCATTTTCCTGTGCCTCATATCATTTGATCCTCACAGAAATCCTGGAGTAGGTAGATAGGAAACTTGGTAGAATCCTATTTTCTTTTCATTAGCTGGAAAATGGAGATTTAGAAAGTTTAGAAACTTGACCCGACTGAAAAGAAGTAAGAAATGGTGGGCCTTAAAATGACTTCGGGTTTTCTCACTGCAGAGAATATAGTCAGACACTGCTGCAGTTAAATATTTTATCCTTTGTTCTCCCTGCATTATCTACAATAATAATCTACATCATGTTGATATTTACTGCTGTGTTGCTGACAATTACCTGAAAGAGAAGTTGGGCTGCTTCACTGGGCTGGAAAAAGTTTAGCTAAATCAGAAAGCAGGTCTAATTAAGCAAGTTTATACATATATATATATATATATATATATATATATATATATATCTCCTATCTAATAATAGAGGAACATGGTAATTAACCATAACTTTGCTACCCTTCCCATTGGCTAATCAGCGAGATATGCAAATTAACTGCCAGCCAAGATGGCGGCCAGCAGCCACGCAGCTGAAGTGAACATGAGGCTTGCTTGCTCCAGTGATGGAGGAAGCCAAGGTTCCCCGCCTGCTGCAGCCCAGCTCTGAGCTCCAGATGCAACAATGTTGCAATTATAGAAGCTAAACAAACCCAGAAACCTGCTTTCAGCTGCCAGTGGGCTCAGAACTTAGAGCGCCAGTGATGGCAACAGAGTTTCAATTATAGAAGCTAAACAAACCCAGATACCTGCTTTCAGCCAGCCACAGCCTCAGAGCTGGACCCGGCTCTCAGCTCCAGTGACAGCTATAGAAGGTAAATAAATCCCAGAATAAAAAAAAAGAAAAAAAAAGAGACTGGGAGCTTCAGTCGCCCGCCAGCCTGAAAAGGGCCTTCAGCCCCTCACCCAGACTGGCCAGGCACCCCAGTGGGGACCCCCACCCTGAAGGGGGTGTGACCAGCTGCAAACAGCCATCAGCCCCTCACCCAGGCTGGCTGGGCACCCAAGCGGGACCCCCACCCTGATCCGGATCACCCTTCAGGGCAAACCAGCCGGCCCCCACCCATGCACCAGGCCTCTATCCTATATAGTAAAAGGGTAATGTGCAAACTGACCCTAACAGCAGAAAGACTGGGAATGACTGGTCACTATGACACACACTGACCACCAGGGGGCAGACGCTCAATGCAGAAGCTGCCCTCTGGTGGTCAGTCGCTCTCACAGCGGGGAGCTCTGCTCAGCCACAAGCCAGGCTGATGGCTGCCAGTACAGCGGTGGTGGTGGGAGCCTCTCCTGCCTCCTCAGCAGCGCTAAGGATGTCTGACTGCAGCTTAGGCCTGCTCCCCGCTGGCAAGTGGGCATCCCCCGAGGGCTGCCGGGCTGCCAGAAGGATGTCTGATTGCCAGCTTAGGCCCAATCCCCCGGGGAGCAGGCCTAAGCCAGCAAGTGGTCACCCCCGAGGGGTCCCAGACTGCGAGAGGGCACAGGCTGGGCTGAGGGACCCCCTACCCCCGAGTGCACAAATTTTTGTGCACCAGGCCTCTAGTATATATATATATATATATATATATATATATGGCTAAGTTGACTCACACATGAGTGATACATATAAAGCTTTCACTGGCGCCAATCGCACGTGTGTGTTTCGGTCTGTCATTGTTGATCATGAATTTGGTTGACACTTCTATTATAGAGAGAGGGAAAATAGCGATATTAAAATATTTCTTCTAGTTAATTTCCTTTCAATGTGCACAAATCCATGCACCGGGACACTAGTCCTATATAATAAAAAGGTAATATGCAAATTGTCCCCTTGACTGGGAGTTTGACCAGAGTTCGACCAGGGGGTGGAGCCAGCCCGCCAACAGCCTGCGGCCCCTCCCCCTGGCCAGCCCGGCCCTATCAGCCCCGATCAGGACAGGCTGGCTGAACCCCACTGGTGCACAAATTTGTGCACTGGGCCTCTAGTCTATGTAAAAAGAAAAAGTCCCAGAATTGACTCCCTCATGTGACTGCCTCTCCTGACAGCCACTGTGGTCAGGGGTAGAATATGCCACTGGCCAGGGTGTGGCTCCATCTCCCCATGTCCAGATGAACTGAGAGTGGGGTGGGTGTATGATAGGCTTCATACAGGTCCCCAAAGGTGTCTGGGTCCTGATCCCTAGAACCCGTGAATATGTTAGCTTGTGTGGCAAAGCGCTTTGCAGATGTGGTTAATTTAAGGACCTTGAGATGGGGAGTTACCCTGGATTGTCCGGTGAGCCCAATGTGATCAAAGGTATTCTCTAACGGAGGCAGGAGGGCCGCAGACAGAGGGCGTGATGATGGAAGCGGAGGACAGAGACCTGAGGTGCGGTGCTGCTGGCTGCGGGGTGGAAGCCAGAGGCAAGGGGAGGACTTCTCTCTAGGCTCCAGGAAGAACGCCCTCCGACCCACTTTAGGACTTAGGAGCTCAGGGACTGTGACAGAATACGTGTGTGTTGTGTTAACCCACTGCATTTGTGGTAAGGAGTTAGAGCAGCAAGAGGGAATCAATACTGAGTGGTTTGCCAAAGGCATGGTGTCAGCAGAGAGAGAATGGATGCAGGGCAGGCAAACCAAGGCATGTCCCCCACACTCAGGAACTCGTGCCACGTAAGGCTGAGTGGCCCCACTCAGATAGGACAGGTGTGCGTTGTGTCCGCTGGAGCTGGGTGATGTGGAGGGCCTGGCCTCGAGGCTTCCATGAGCTAATACATGTGAAGCACCGAACAACGCCTGGCACAGAGCGTTCAGTCAGAATTAGTTGTTTTCATTGTCAGCATCAGCATCGTCAGCATCGTCATCATTACACTTTCTCCTTCTGGCAGTTGAATAGTCTCATTTGCAAGATGAGAAGGTTAGACGCAGCGATCAGGTTCCTTCCACTCTCACATTCCGTAGTTCTGGGGTTCTGCGGCTCGCAAACTGGTTTTGACTGGTTTGAGAAGTGCCATACCACATTTTGATATCAAAACCTTCCTAGTCACAGTCTGGGAGAAAGCAGAAAAACATACCCAAGTTGGAAGCTAGAGTGTCTCTTTCCTTTTGCAGCAATTTTAACTTCCACGGGTCACAGTGAGATTTGTCCATATGTTTGAAGAAATGTGCAAACCTAATATTTGCTTGTATCATTTGTGCTCAGTTCCTCACCATTCGCTGTCAATCAAACCCTTAAGTGCATGTCCTCGATTAATAGACCTGGCGGAACTGCATTAACAGCGAGTCAGCTTAAAACCAGCAGCAGGAGAAATAACCTCTTCTAGAAGCTGGCGAATGAACAGAGATCAGAGCTAACAGTTCTTTCTTCCTTTTTCAGTGGGTATTATTGCCTAAGAGTATTAGTATTAATTGTGCTGGGATCATTATAGATATCCTGGTCCCGTCATTCAAGTAACTGATTTAGCTCCTCACCGGGCAGGCTGAGCTTGCGTTTTCCAGCTTCCAGTGGCGAGGACGATTTAATACCACATCTTCCAAGTCATTTTATTTCAATTGTATTTTTGCACTTTCATTTTAAAATGGGCATGCCTGATAGTTGGGGGAGCACATATTGCTACGAACCAATTAGTGAAACCTGGTTGTGAAGACTCATAAAGAGTCTATCTCTACCTTTTCTCCGACCCGACGTCTTCAGGAGGGCAGGCTCCGGGGTCCGCCTGCGAGTGTTATCCTAGGACTGTTATTTACTAGCTGTGCAGCCTGGGCTCAGTTACTTAATCTCTCTGCACCTCAGTTTCCTCCTCTGTGAAGTAGGATAATATTCATACTTCATGGGGTGGCTGTGATGAGTAGGTGAGGCGGGGTAGGTGAAGTGCTGGCACGCAGTAGGCATTCAGTATTATTAGCTATTATTTTGGGTGCGTATACATGCCAGTCAAAGACACTGAAGTGTGCATGTGGTGTCACTGAAGTTCCCCATGGAACTGTGAGCTTGGCAATCATTACGGAAACATGGGAATCTCCCTGAAGCCAACCCACCACATGGAGGCAGCATCGGCTGCCATTTCCCAGGAGTACACATTGCCGACAACTTCTGTAGCTCGCCGTTCGGCTGCCCTTCATTCCCCATTCTCCACTGTGTGCCGGGCATTGTGCTCGGTGCTGGGGATACAATAGTGAACTGGCTGGGTAAGGTGTGTGTCTTTATTGGTTCTACTTAGTGATACAGACAAAAAACCGAGCAATTAAGGTGGAAAATTTAAAAAATTGTGATAAGTGAGAAGGATCAAGTGGACAAAGCACTCACCGAAACAGCAAGGAGGGAGGCTGCTTGAGATGGGAAAGCAACAGCCACATGAACACTGGAATTCCATTGCTACAAGTCACATTTTTAAAAAATATCCCAATCATTGCCAGAACTTTCAACACTGCATGATTCTCCTGGTGGGGGGGATGGACTGAGGTTAAAGGAACTCGGGACGTTCACGGTGTCCCTGTGATCCTCACTCCCATCCAAGAGGTGCTCGTCCTTGGCTGTCTCCTCCCCAGCTTCGCCATGTGAGCTCTTGTCCTCTTGTATCTTTGCGGCGGCCCCCTCAAGCACTGAGGCACCAGACCTTCTCACGCAGCTCTTCTCCAGTAGATTGACTCAGATCCTTCCTCAGGGCCAGCGCAGGCAGATCAAATACTATCAGGGCTCATTTCGTTACAAGTGGCAGGAAGCCCAACTCAAAGTGGCTTGAGCAAGAAAAGGAATTTATTGATTCCCACAACTGCAAAGTTCAAGTGTAGAGTTCAGATATGGCTGGATCCAGGGACTTCAACACTATTATTAGGATTCTGTCTCCCACCATTTAAAAAGATATTTTTATTAATCTCAGAGAGGAAGGGGGAGGGAGAGAAAGACAGAAACATCCATGATGAGAGAAGAACCATTCATTGGCTGCCTCCTGCAAGCCCCACACTGGTGACTGAGCCCACAACCTGGGCAGATACCCTGACCCGAAATCGAACCATGACCTCCTGGCTCATAGGTTGATGCTCAACCACTGAGCCATGCCGGCCGGGCTCCTGCCACTTTGGACCCAGCTTTCCTTTGGGTTGGCTTCATTAGAGGCAGGTTCTTTCCATGTGATGAGTTCTAGTAGAGTCAGGTGTTTTTCCTTTCCAGGTCCAGTCCAGAGTAAAGAAAGCTTTTCTCTCCTAATTATTCCAGCTAAAGTCCTGGTAGGTTTTGACTGGATCACACGTCCAATCTAGAACCAATTACTGCAGTCCAGCTAAGAGATGACTTAGCTGGTCACCCAGGCCATGGGATCACCCCTGGAACTCAGAATGCCCCCCAGAAAGGTCATAAACAATGGATGGCCATGGTGTAGAATTTCAGGGACCCTACACATCAGCCCCCTTACGGGAAAGTTCATTGAAGAGATCCCGTGTTTTTTCAACACCACAGCATTTGATGTGCTGCTCTCTGGAACTGAAGAGTGAGGGCAACTTACGTAGGACCTTAGAGAAAGAAAGGTTCATTCTGGCTCAGATAGTCAGGAAAGACTTCAAGGAGAAGATGACATTGGACTTGAACCCCCCAAATAAAAGGATGGTTGAATTTTAATAGTGGGAATGAGGAATGACATTTCAGAAGGAAGGACTGATTTGAGCACCTGCTCAAAGGCAGACGAGTGTAAGGTTTTGTCAGAAATCTGTGGAAACAGTTATTGGAAAAGTTTGGATTCTGGTGCAGAAGAACTTAAATGTCCAAGCTTCTGAAGATCATGAGCGACTGAGGCAAAGCCAGGAGGCAGTTCCTTTAATGTTGGTGGAGGCTGCAAGAACTTCTGCCTACAGACACTTCCTTAGACCGAGCACAGACCCGGAGGCCAGCCGGTGCAGGGGCGCCATGGCTGGAATGGGCGCTGGGTCTGGGAGTGGGTGGGGACCCACCAGGAGGCTGCTGAGCTATCCCCTCAGGCCTCTTGATCTCCCCTGGGTACTTCATCTCCCACCCTCTTCATTTTTTAGGCTAAATCCATCCTGCAAGGGTTCCTGGAGGACTCGGGCTACCGAATCCAGGACCTGAAGAGCTTCCACTTAGTAGGACTTGGTACAACCCTGTGTGCCATGGATGTCACCGACATCTCACTTATACAGATCGCAGAGTTCAGGTGACCAAGTAAAAGTGTGCAAAGTGGCCAAGGACGGGCGGGTCGTTCCTTCAGCAAGACCCTCTGCCTCTGATGCCTGGCCACCCTTCTGGGCACAAACGGGTGGGGTTAGCCGGGTCCTTTTCTGGTGCTGAGCCGGCACCTTTTTTGGCTGGAGAGTCTCCCAAGCTCACACGGTGTCCCTCCCTCTTAACCAGGGTGGTGGTGGCCAGAATCGGGACCCTGCCCTGCAGCACCCATGTCTTGGCCGAGTTCAAGAGGAAGGCAGCGGTTGTGTTTGGGGACCCCACCAAGTGGTCCAGCTCTGTCTTGCAGGAACTCGGAACTATTGCCGGTGAGAGTCACCTTGACCTTGCCCTTCTCCTTTTCTGACCTTAGACCTGGGGACAGGAAAAGAATCCTGGGCTTGTGTAGCGACATCTGTATAGTTCCCATAAAACCTGGATGTCAGCACACGGAGTTGCAGAGGGTGGGATCGCAAGTCTGCCTTTTGAACAAGCTCTCTTGGTGGTTTTGTGCACCCAAAAGTGGTTTAGAAGGTGATGGAATTGACTGCTAAATAGGTTTACACTTGATCTGAGAATGCGCCTTCTGAGTACACATTTCACCGTAGGAGACCAATCAGGGCTAAGGTGACCCACGGTGTTTTTCTGAGTTGATTAGGACACAGTTCCAGAGGGGCTCTCAGGGCCTTCTGCAGGAGGGACGCGCACCCCCGCCACGCAGACCGCACCTTCTGCAGCATCATTAATAAAACAAGGTGCGTTCCGCTGTCTTGAAGCAAATCCTGTGGTTCCTTTTTCTCCCCAGCGGGATTAACGAAGGAAGAGCTCCGGGTGCTCGACAAGGATTTGATGCCGTATTTCCAACCATCAGCAATCAGATGCCTTCCTGCTGAGATATTCAAAGTAGGTCCTCCGTTTCTGAAGCTTGACCTCATTTCATATCACACCAGGAAGCAGATGGCGGGCCTTGCGTTCTGCAGGCACCACTGGCTTCTGCTCAGGGGCCAGGGCGAGCTGCATGCCACCGATGGACGTGTCAAAAGATCATTTCAGCATTTTTAAAAAGAGTTTTTTCTTAAATGTTTAACTTATGTTTTAATTGTATTTATTTATTTTAAAATATATTTTTTTATTGATTTCGGAGAGGAAGGGAAAGAGAGAGATAGAAACATCAGTGATGAGAGAATCATGGATTGGCTGCCTCCTGCATGCCCCATACTGGGGATGGAGCCACTACCCAGGCATGTGCCCCGACTGGGAATGAACCGTGACCTCCTGGTTCATAGGTCGATGCCCAACTGCTGAGCGACACTGGCCGAGCTAGTTGTATTTTTTTTTTAAAGTTGTATTCTCTTCATAGCAAATGGCACCGACTTTCTGTTTATAATGACATGACAGGTTCATATTCCCTTATCCCAAACCCTTGGGGACAGGTGTATTTTAGAATTCAGAATTTTCTAGATTTTAGAAAGATCACTTTGACTGTACAGTATGTGACTTCACAGCCCCAGCAGTACCTGGGGAAGCACCAGTAAGCACACGCATTGGTATTTCTGCTGGGAAACTGGTATTTCTGGCCAGCCACACTGATTGAGATAGAGACTCTAAATGGCTTCACATCCGTTCAGGTCAGGCTCAGCTGGCAAGTAAGTTCGTGTTAAATTTTAGAAAAAACTTTCCATTTGCAGACTTTCTTGGACTTCAGAGTTGGAGATAGGGGGTTGTGGTCCTGGGTAATATTCCCTTTAAAAATACATTTCAGCAAACACATTTGAATTGATTTAAAGAAACGTGTTTAAAAAGCCGCAGTAGGACAGGTGACACGCTACCATGGAGGACACTAGAGGGTGGAACTGGACCACCTGAAGTGAGGGAAGCAGCTGTGCAGGCAGCGGCCCTTGCTTCCTGCCCTGGTGCTGCTGCGGGGAGTGCGCTGGGACAGTCTGCGCCGGTGGGGACTGGCCTGGCGTTCCTGCTGGGTAAGTGGGAGCACATTCCGCCCCCTCAACTGGATCAGACACACAAAGGAGCTTAGACAAACTCCTGGTGCCGCATTATTGGTTCATTTCAAGACACAAAGCAGAACCTGAACCATTCCCATGGCCAGGACAGCTCCCAGCAGGGCAGGTCCTGGCTGCTCCGGGAGTAGTCCCAGAGGTCATTGAGCAGCCCCACCCCCCCCACACACCCCGGGGGCTGCCTGGGACAGGCAGCTTGGTCCTGAATGCTGGCACGTTGCTGAGCGCTTGCTCATGGTCTTGTATGGAGTGCAGTCTGTGGTATTAATTCCAGAAATCCCGACTGACCACCTGCATTGGCTAGGCTGCAGGCCCAGCGCACCTGGCATGCCCGGGAAGGGCGAGCACAGTGTCTGCAGGGCCTGGAAGCGAGCCTCCGGGGTGCAGGGGCCGGGTGGGTGGCGGGGACCTGGGGAGGCTGCTCGTCTCTGGCACAGCAGAGCGGGGTGATGGCCGGGTGACGCGGGCCCAGGCGCTGGTCTTCCTTTCCCTGAAATCTCCGAGTTAAATGTTGGCAGCCACTTTGAATTTGTTTTGTAAAATACAGTGCAGCAGGCCCAGAGGTTCAATCTGGCCTCTGGGTGGCGAGTCAGCAACATTAGAAAAATAATGTTTGTGATACAGACTGTTAATGGTAGATCAAGGTGGAAGCCGGTGCAGCCGCGCTGTGTGTGTGTGTGTGTGTGTGTGTGTGTGTGTGTGTGTGTGAGAGAGAGAGAGAGAGAGAGAGAGAGAGAGAGAGAGAGAGAGAAAGGAAGTGATACTGACTTCAGGGGGAGACACTGGAGCTCAACTGCCTTTAACGCCTCCATAGCACCTTTAACCTCCGCGCTCCCAGGCCGCACGCCAGCCGTGTTGGCCAGGAGGCCTGGCTAGAATTCTACAACGTTGCATTTGTTTGGCTTATTTTAATGGTTACTGATGGTCAGTCAGTCTGGGTTTGCATTTTTGGAACTTTGCATTTAGAAAATGTTAATTTCGGTAGCGAAAGCGCCTGACTTTAAGGAGAAACTGTAAAGCGGGCAGGACCCGGTACCCGAGCGCTGCCCTCCCCCCGCAGGAGCTCTCTGCCCAGCAGATCGCCGCCCTGGGCCCCGAGAACGCGGCCGCCGTGACCCCGGCCCAGCGCCGGCTGCTCCGCGCGCCGCAGCTGCAGAGCCTCCAGCGGGCGCTAGATGGCGCCAAGACGCGCCCCTGGCTGGATGCTCCCCCGAGCGCAAGCCCCAGCCGGACGCCCTCCTCGCCTTCTCACCCAGGTGAGCGGGACAGCCCTGCCCACCCCCATCCCTGTGCTCATTCGGGTCCCTTCCTGGGCCTGGGCGGGGAGGGCCTAAGATGCAAGACGGGGTCTCTGGATCACTGGAGATTCTGCCTTCAGAGAAAAATCCTGTCTCTACCAAACGCGTGACAGTGACTCAACTCTCCGCTGCCGTGAAAGTCAGCGGTGCAGGGCAGCTTTTATTTATTTTTAAAAAAATATTCCTTTATTGATTTCAGAGAGGAAGGGAGAGGGAGAGAGAGATAGAAACATCAATGATGAGAGGGAATCATTGATGGGCTGCCTCCTGCACGCCTCCGACTGGGGATGGAGCCCGCAACCTGGGCATGTGCCCTGACCAGGAATCATCCTGGGACCCTTCAGTCTTCAGGCGGATGCTCTATCCGCTCAGCCAAACCGGGGCAGCTTTTAAAAGCCGCCAGTGTCACGGGCCTCACTCAGAACCCACTGAATCAGA